GTTTTGTGAGCGAGAACGGGGACCTGTTTAGGATTTGGTGCCAGCAGAGAGCAGGGTCTTGCCTTCTGCCCACCCGAGGTCCACAGTCCCAGCAGCATGTAAGTGGGCACAGATGGCCCTACCTCGGAGAGCATCAATCCTATCAGCACAGAGTGAGGAGACTCTTCTACACGCCAGGGCTGTTCAGAGGCAGAGGGGGCTCCCCAGGAGGCAGGCTGGCCGTCTGTCTGTGCAGGCTTTGGAGTCAAATAAACTTGGGGCCCTATGGCCCGGGTGACCTTGGACAGGTGACCTTGGAGAGACTGATTGGGGTTGTGGTCAAGAGCCTATGCTGGAGCCAGCATGCTGACTGTACCATTTTCTAGTCTGTGGCCTCAGGCAATCAATTTCCTAACTCCTCTATGCCTTTCTTCCCACATCTGTAAACAACAGCACCTATCCTGTAAGGCTGTAGTAAGGATTCGATTAAATGTGTTAATGTATTCGACATGCTTGGAACAGTGTCTGGAGCAGAGCAAGCTGTCTCGTGTGTCTGCTGATCCTGGAGATAACTGCATTCCCCAGCAGAGCAGACACAGTCCAGCACAGCACCTGGACGGAAGGGATTGTAATCATTATTCATATTGTCCCGGGGGCCTTGGGGCCTGGCGCAGTGTCTGTGGGCTCTCGCCAGTGGGGATGTGTGGGCCATTTTCTAGCTGTGCCCTGCATCTGCCGGGTGTCTGATCATCATGTCCCTCCTCCGCCTTCTCCCTGCCCACTCGGAATGTCATCATGAGTCTGTGGTTAGCTGCTGCTTCCATGAGGTGACGGATGGGCAGTGACTGCTTCCTCTCCCTGCTCTGTTCTCTGCATCCATGGGTCTTGCTGATCTCCTCCACTGGGGCTGCCGTCTCTACTCCTAGATTCTAGGTGCAGGTGGACCTTTATTCAAACTCAGATACCCCTCCTATCTCATAAGCTCTCAAGTTTCTTAACCTCTCTTAGCCTTAGTTTTTACAGCTGTGTAATGGGAACAGAATCTACCTCCCAAAATGGTTGTTGTGGTTAACATCCCCAGCTGGGTGATAGGCGCACAGTAGGGACTCAGTAATTGCCAGCTGGAGACACTCTTGGCTGAGAGCCAGGGGGTGGCATGGCTGTGTGTTCTCCAAGCAGACCCGTGGTGTGTCACTACGAGGCAGAAGGACATCAGAGATTATCTTCCTCCTCCCCTAAGGTACAAACACACTCTCCCCTTTTTGTCATTTGGTAAACTGAGGGCGGGTGGAAGTGTTTTTCCAAAGAAACGGAGTGAATTCCTGGTGTTTCCCCGGCCTCTGTTGAAGGCTGGCGCACCAGCCCCATACTGTGGGAAGAGAAATCTTTCTTCTCGCCAGAAGTCTAGGATGTTCTACTTAGATAAAGACTGAGGGAAAACGTACATCAGTGGGCGACAGTTAACTCCAAGGGAGCAGGGTCTTTGTCATGAGCCGTGTCCTTTTCTGCGTTCTCATGTTTTCAAAGAGGAAAATCAGCCAACTAACCGAGAGCTAACTACATGCACATTCTGATTTCTGAGAACTTACTCGCTGTCCTTAATCCCAGAGCTGCTGCTTCTATTGACCCTGAATGATTACCTGATAATTGCATATTTACTGTGATAGTGAAGGCAACCCAGCCTGTCAGTAGCTCCTTTAACCATAAAAATAATGGAACAGTTCTCACCACCCTCATCAATTGTTCGCAGGCATCTGGAAGGAGAAGTGGCCCTCAGACCCTTTATCCATGCAGCTAACGGAAAAGGACTGCCTGGAGGTTCAGACACACTCCCCCGCAAGCAGGAACCCCCACTACAGTGGTTTAGATGAACAGAAGTTTGTTTTTCCTGTGCTTTTCACCCAGGCCAGGGGTGGGAGTCCCTCTCTCCTCAGTTCTTCTAGAGCAGGGGTCGGCAAACTTTTGAGACGGAAGAGCCAATCTTGTCCCTCACAACAATTTAAAAATTATTTGAGAGGCATAAAACAAATGAAATCACCATTATGTGAATAATACCCTTTAAAAATTATATAAATGAAACTATGATAGTTTTATTTTCATTTTCAATTTGACTTCAGAGCCACATGTCCGTACCCAAAGAGCCGCATGGGGCTCGCGAGCCGCAGTTTGCCGACCCCTGCTCTAGACAGTCCCACAGATATTACACCCCACATTCGGAGGAGGAAGAAGGGAGAACCAAGTTGCCACACCCGTCTACCTATCTGTCCCCTTACATCGGGAAATGCAACCACTCCTTTTTAAGAAACCACTCCTCTCCCAACCACAGAAAACTTGTTTCCTTGGCCGGAATGGGGTCACATGTTTGTCCCTAGCTGCAAAGGAGACTGGAAAGATGGGGGCCAGGGTAACCATAGCTGGCTTAGACCAACCAGCCACAGCTTTTCTCCTTGGGCTGAAAACCCTGCCATTCTGAACAAAAATGGCCTTCTTTTAGCCAGAAAGGAGCAGGGAAATGATGTTGAGCTGACAACAGTGGCGGCGGCCACACGTCGGCTGCAGGAGCTGGTGAGCTCGTCTCAGTGGCTCACCAAGATCATGAGGAAACCCAGGCCTGGGAGGCTGTCCAGTCCACTGTCCAGCATTTACCGCTCAGCTCAGGTGTCACCGGTCATTTCTGCTCTGCTCTGTGCCTTGAGCTGTGAGGACCATGGATACAGGGTGGGACTGGGATCCAGCCGGGTCTGCAGACTCCCACTTCCGGGGAGACAGACACGCCGGTCGGTGCCTCCAATGTGGCGCCATCAGCTCTAGGACTCGGGGCGGGTGGAGGGGATCCTGACACAGGTTGGGGTGGCTGAGAGCAAGGCCCTGGGGGCGCTCAGGCTGAGAAGAGTCTCAACGGTTCAGAAGAAGGGGCCCGGGAAGCAAGGAAGAAGCACGAAGGGGTCCCGGGAGCGCTGACGTTTTCTTGGGTTCACATAGTCCGATTCTGTCACCATAGTCAGCCCACGAGTGCCCTGAAGGCAGGGCCTGTCACTTATCTATTATTCCTCTTTCAATGTCCCTAGAACTAGCTCAGTGCCTGGAACATCTGTGCAGCTCTATAAATAGTTTAGCTTGAATAAATGAGTTAATGCAGAAACAAATAGATGATTATCCAAGATGTGGAAATATCTTGGCCAAAGGGATATAGTTATGGGCTGAGAGGGACTTTGGATGTTAACCCTACCTCCCTGCCTAGCAGGTGAGCCCCAGGGGCCCCCACAGCTCTGGGGAGCCTGGCCGGAGCAGGGGTTTGGGGAGCTATTTGTCCTGAACTAAGTAAGTCATCTATAAATTGCCCCTTGGGCCTCTGGGATGCATGAGGCTTAGTAATGGCCCCGGAAGGTGAAAGGCAGCTGGTTTGGGGAGTGATTCCTTACAGCAGTTTGGGCAAGTCCCAGCATCTTTGAAAACAACCTGTCTTTTCTGTGCTCCTGGTCTTCAGACTGCCCTTGCCTGGGACCGGGAATCAGGTTGTCCCCCCGGGGATATTTGCAGAACTGAGGCTCAGTGATCCTGACCCGCGAGCTCCAGCTGGCAGCCTCCAGGGGTTTGCTCATAATCAAGGATAGAACCTTCGGAGTCAACTCATTTTATACGACACACGATCCCCAGCCAGTCTCGCTGGCAGGCGGCCCAAATTAAAGCCATTGATGTCACCCCACAGCTGCCGCTGTCCTGGGTGGAGCTGTCTAAATAGTGCGCGGTGCCTGCGTCGTTTCTCGCGTTTGGCCCGAGACAGACAGCGCGGTGCTGTTTCCGGAATAACCTCTTCCATGGGGCCTGTCAGCCCTCCTGGTGCCTTTTAGGCTAAACATTAAAAATAGCTCCTCCCAAATCAGGAAGGCCATCCTCACTGCCGGTCGGCACAAAGGCCCCAGCCCTGTCCCGCCCTGGGACATTCCTGTCCCCAACTATGAACAGAGGTCATGGGCCTGACTGATGGGCAGCGGAAGCATCTACTGGAGTGTGGTGATGATGATAACGTGCATACACACACCGCTCTAGGGGCAGGGCCGGGGCTGCTCTAAGTTGTCCCAGGTGTGAAATTTAATTACGAGAGGCCTCCTCTGTCGTCCCTGTTCTGTCATGGGCGTGGTCTTGCCCGGTCCCCAAAGCAGCCCTGTGACAAGTGCGTGCTTTGTAAGGCCTCCCATGTCACAGCTGCTCACACCCAGACGTGGGGATCAGGAGACGCGTGGTGGAGTCCACCCAGGGACGCAGGATTTTAAAAGTCAACGCTGATGCTCTTTCTGGGATTTTTTGGGCAACCCCAAGAGTCCCCTTTCCTTCCAGCTTTTTGAAGTGAGGACTTATGAATGAAGGTGTTTAGATGGACATTTAAGTGATACCCTATAATGAAGTGTTTTTTTATTGTGTGACTTACTGCGTTGCCTTTGTATAACTGAGCAGCTTGGCGTCTTCTGGAGTTTGCATCTTTCTGGAAGTGGACCTGCAGCTCCTTAGGGTGGCGTCAGATACACCTTTCTGGTGTATTCAGCATGCATTTACCATTTCGCTGACATATCGCTGACTTGGAATTTTCATATATAAATTTGAGCCTTTATAAGTGAGGCTCTCTCTGCCTGTATCACCTTTTGTTCTTTGTCTGTCTGGTTAAGTCTCACTGTTCCTTTAAGAGGAACCTCAAGCATCACCTTTCCAGGAAAGCCACCCTGACCTCCCCAAGGTTGGCTTGGGTGTTGGATCTGCGCCCTGATTCCTCCAGTAAACCTGTACTCATTTCTGTCACTTATTACACTGTTGATCTTATGGATTTTGATGTCTGGCTCCATCTCATGGAGGAGGCTCTGAGCTCCTGCTGGGAAACACCAGGGCCTTGTTCATGTTTGTATCTGCTCCAGGCCCTGGACATGCTACATGTTGGGAGATGCTGGGGGGATCTGTGTGCGGTCACATCCCACGTGACTGGGTCACGCTCGCTTATCCATGTTCTTGTTTCCTCTCGCTTTTCTCAGACGTGCTCTGCCCCAGCGTCCGTTTGGAAGGAGAACGCTTTAAGCACACCAATGGCGGTACCAAGGAGATCACAGGTGAGAGAGAAACGGCTACCTGTGTGCCTGCTGTGCTGCGCTGTCTGCTGGACCTGAGTGTGACCCCCTGTGGTTCAGGGTGGCCCCGCTGCTCCTGTCCTCATTCCTGTCTGCCACCACAGTCCTGATAGAATGGTTTGAACTGTGTAGGTAGCGGCTCCCATCAACGAACCATCCAACAGTCAAGAAATGCACAGTGTCCACTCGGAAGTCAGTGGTGATTCTACTGGAGTCTCTAAATAATGCATTAGAATGAATGATCTGGTGATGGAGCTGGTGATGGCAGATGAGTAAGCGAATGATTGGCAGAGTGAGCAAAAGAGTAAACAAATAAGTGTGTTGGGGAGTGAAGGGGAGAGTGAATCAGAATTATGAATACATGATTGCATAGATGGGTGAGAGGACAGAGACACGTGACCGCAGACCCAGCAGCAGAAATAAGTCCTGGGGATTCCCCTCGGAGTGTCTGTACATGACGGGACATAGCGGGGACTCATGAAGGACGGCTGAGCTGGCTCCCCCACCGTCCTGATGATGCTAAGATGGGTTTATTCCTCCCTGGGGCCAGGCGTCCTACAGAACTCTTTCAATGCATGGCCTCAGGGGAGCTTCCTTCTCCCCTCCATGACACCAGCCCCACTCTCCCCACCAGCTCTGCTGGGTCAGGTGCTGCTCGTCTCCACCCCACAACATCCCGGGTCTGATGCTCACCCGTGTGGGATGGCGAAGAGCCGGGCTCCCGTTCAGGTGCTTTGCAAGCACTGCCAGTTCCCTCCCGCTTCCTGGGGACTCTGCACGTCGGTGCTCTGAGGACGTGCAGGTGCCAGCATCTGCGTCTTTGAGGGATGTTTCTAGAATGGTAGCAGACTGTGCTGCCTGTGTGCCCAGCAGGTGAAACTGTGGGGCTGTTAACACTCCTCGGGGCAGCCCTCAGCCAGTGACTTGATGTGGAAACACCCCGGCTCCACTGCCCCCCAGGGGGATTATTCTGGGTCCACATTTGTCCCCACTTCCCAGGTTCCCAGTTGGACCCAGCTGCAGCCACCAGCCGGGCCATCGGGCCTGACACCACACCCTCCACTGCCTCCCATCCCCCCCCCATCCCCCCCAGACAAACCATGAGCACTTCTGGAAAGACCCAGATGAAGATGCTGCCAGTTGTCCCTTTTCTCCTGGTAGCACCTGGTGTGTGGTTGGTGCTCAGTGAGGCACCATCATTATCAGGGCTTCTTTGTCCCATACACGGGATGACTTCCAGCCTCTTCACTGAGTTGACTCATTACCTTGAAGTGAATGTCTTTACAGCTGAGTCACTCTGTCCAGGGGAGAAACTGCTGGCAGGGTTGACGTGGCCCTTCCCACTTGCTGCACTAACCCGTCCCCCACCAGGCCCTGGCTTTGGACAGCCCGTTGCCCTTGAACCTCGAGTTGTGGGTGTGCCTGCCTGACTCCGTCCCGGGAGCTTCCGTTGAAATCACTCTGGAAAGCAAATTCTCACCTGGCTGCATTATCCATACTTGGCTTCCTGAACGATGAATCCTTCACAGCAGCATCTCCCCTAAATAATTCATTGTCCACGGCGGGAACAGTTCTGACAATAATGCCATTAATACCAATGCCAGTGACAGGCGGCACTCGCTGAGCATGTGCTGTGTGCCGAGGGGTTTGCACACGTGCTCTCGTTCACAGCACCCGACGTGGGCACCATTGTGCACCTCACAGCTGGGGATACTGAGGCCTGGAGAGATTAAGTAGCTTGCCCGAGTCTGTGGCGGAGTCTGGGTTCACACCCAGACGGTGGGAAGGAAGAAAAAAGGAAGGAAGGAAGGGTTCGCAGACGGAGAAATGAATGCGCCTCCGCCATTGATCACTAAAGTCAGATCCGGTCCGAAGCTCCCCTGCCCTTCTGCAGACTGAAGAGCCCGGATGTTTTTCTATAGTTCCCAGCATATGAAGAGGACCCTGCTGGAGAGTCTGTTCGGTGATTGGATAGAAATGGGACCCTCTGCTTGCAATGCACTGTTGGGACCCCACATCCTGAAGTGTCTCCTCCCCTCTGTGGGCTCCGAGGCCCCCAGGGACACGTCGCAGAGCCTGCTGGGTCTCTGTCAGCGCGCTGGGCACAGGCTCTGTTTGTGCAGCTCCGAGCGCACAGAGAGCCTGTCTCCAACAATTACCAGCAGCCCAGGAAAGCTCCAGCCGTGCTGAGGCTGCGAGTGGCGTTACGGAGAGATAGAGCCTCCGACTCGCCAGTTTCAACCAGCTGGGTAATCGGAGAAGCTTTTGTTCTGTGGAAAACGTGGTTCCCCAAAGCCTCACCGCCAGGGTTTTCCTTAAATGACTCTGGCTATTTTTAGGGCATATCTGGGCTGGAACAGTGAGGATGCAGAGAACAGACGAGGCAGTTTGGAGGCAGAGATCTTAGCCTGGCCTCCCAACATCTCTGAGGCTGTCTCCCCGCTTACGTAACAGTGGGTCCGACCTAATGTTTCTGAAGATGGCTCTTGCCTCTGATAACCAAAGGTTCTGCACATTTGAGCGACCGAAGGTCTCCCACGCCTTGCCTGGGAATTGAGCTATTTAATGCTTCCAGAACGTGCTAGGGACCGTGCAGGTCTGAAATTTGGACACAGACGTCCTGTTTCTCTCTCCTCCCATACAGGCGCCCATACCCCGATAATCGCCCATCCCAAGTAGCCTCCAGTCCAGTGGCTTCTTCCGTCCCTCCTCCCTGGAAAAATCGTACCTAGTCTTGTCCTCACTGGCCTTCCAGCTCGTGCATGTCCCAGCTGCCAGAACCACCTTTGAAAATAGAAACGAGATTGTGCCTCTTCCTTGCTGGAAAGCTCTTCCACGGCTCCCCATTGCCTGCAGCAAGAAACTAAAATTCTCCCACGTGACAGCAGAACCCAGAATGCCCTGCCCCTGTCCCCCTCATTCCTAGCCAGGGTCCCCCTCACCGCGGCTCCTGACATCCCGAAATAGCCAGGATTCCCAAAAGGAGCCTGGTTGACGCGGGTCTGGTGACCAGTGCACACCCAGCTACCTGGCATGGCCTTGCCCCGTCTCTATCTGCCCAGGTTTTATTTATTCTTCACATTCAGGCCAAGCCTTGCCTTCTCTGGGAAGCCCTCCCTGACTGCCCCTAAGGCTGGCAGGGAAAGTTTTCCCTGTGCTCCTGTACAAGCCCAGCGGCCCCCTTCCTTGTCATTGACTAAGCCTGCTCATTTCCATGTCTATTTCCCCTTAGACAGGAAACTTGGGATTGTGTCTTGTTCGTTATTGGAATCTGAGCAGCAAAGGGGGTGTCGATTACATAGGAGGCCCTTAATGGTCCACCGCACGCTTCCTTCTCTCCTCCCCCTCTTCCCACATGTGGTGCCACAAACGGGAACAACTATGAAAGCTCCTGACTTTTTTAGGGACGGAAGCCTCAATCCGATCAGGTCTTATCCCTCAAACTGCTCACCATCTAGTGAGGGAAGCAGCCATGCACAGATAAGCTGTGTGCACCTCGGCCAGACCCACCGGGTGACTGTTGTGTGTGTGGGGCACCCGGCAAAGCTTCGTCCCGTGCAGACCTTCGAAAGACGAGGACAGAGCACACAGTGGGCACCTGGCAGGGGCAGGTGCAGCCAGAGGACTCTGGGCAGTCGCCAGGGAGCAGTGTTTCTGATGCCTGCGGGGTCAGCTGGCTCTGTGACGGCAGGGAGGTGCGCCTCGTGGCCCTGCAGGAAGCGATTGCTTCTTTATCTGGCGACGCCTTGCACCAGAGTCCATTTACCTCGGAGCATTTCTCATTTTCTTCTCAGCTCTTATTTATTGCAGGCAATTCATCTTTTCTCTGGGTGCCCGTGGCTGCCACCTAGGTAATTGTGTGTTATTCAAAGTTTTGTCATGCTTAAGTCTTTGTTTTTGTTCATTGAAACCGCTAGCAGTGGAAGCAGAAAGTGGCCTCTGCCTGGTTCCCCCGTGGGCTCCCTGAGCAGCCAGCTCCCTGCACCAGCGTCCCAGCCAGGCCCCTCTCCACATGCCTGGTGCTCGACTATGATCTGGGACGTTCTCAGCACTCACACCGTCCAATGTCTGCATTTCTCCTGCACCTTTTCGTGGACTTGGACTTGGACATGGAAGCTGTACCTCTCTTTACTTACTGTCGTTTGTGTTTGCTCCCCGAGTATGTCTTTGAATAGTTCCCTCTGCTGAAAGTACCTGCTGCACACGGCAGGGCAGGGTGGGCAGCCTGCCTTTGCAGAGAGCCAGTTCTCCTCTCATCAACCTCACTCCAGCTCTCTTCTTTGCACAGGTTTCGACCTGATGGATTTGTTCAGAGTGAAGGACATCTTGGGGGAGAGGGACAACGGGGTGCAGAGTTCCTACGTGCGGATGGGATCCTTCCCGGTGGTGCAGAGAACTGAGTGAGTAGCGACTTGTCCTTCCAGACCTGCTGGACACCTGGGCAAGTGAGCCACGGTGGCCCCCTGAACACTGAACAGGCCCTTTATCTACAAGGGCACCCAGAACCGAAGCAGCAGAGCCACTCGCCTAGAGATTTAGCCTGTGCCTTAGCAGACCTGTCTGTTACCGTTGCCATTTGGTTCCCTGGTCCTTCTACACCCACCTCTCCAGACAAGTCTGCCATTAATGATTCGCACGTGCTTGCGTTTTCTGTCAGTACATTAAACGGTGAACACTTACAGTTACAGGTGCATGGCAGCGACTTCTGGATGAGCCACTGCATTACGGGGCAGGTGTGGGAGCCCCCAGAGTCACACAGTCATTTTGGCCAATGGAGACCCAGTTTCAGTGTTTCCTGGGTGCCTGGCTGTGAACGTTATTCGGTGCCCCTCAGTGACGTCATGTCCTTCACCTGAGGTGAACGGCCCTGCCTTGCAACACTGTTGAGCGGATTATGATGGAAGGACTCGTCCCGGGTCTCCAGTCAAGGGCTCTCCATGATACCATAGCGTTACATCCTGCTCAGCTCAGGCAGATGGACCTTTTGAAACAAAAATGAGGTTTCGTCCTGACACGCCTCCTCCATCTGAAAACCCTTTCATGGCTCCCAAGTGTAGTTAAGCCAAAGGGCTGCAAAGGCCTGTGTGACCAGCCCCCATCCTCCCTTCTGGCCTCAAGCTTGTCCCCGAGCCCTCCCTTGTCTGGCTCCCCTGTCTGTCCTGGAGCCTGTCAGGCACCCTCCTCCTCCTTTGCTCACACCCTTCCCTCCACCTGGGGCATCCGCCCTTCAGAGAACAGCTGCACAGTTAGGTTTTCAGGGATGCCCTCCCTGGGGGTGCAGAGTTCCTACGTGCGGATGGGATCCTTCCCTGGACCCCCAGACTAAGTCAGGCTGCCCCTATCGCCTCTCCTTGCAACCTGCATTCCTGCACAATTCATGGCCGCGTTGACCCTAACTAATCCGATGTGCAGTTGGCCACACACAGCCTGCCTCCCCTGCTCAGCGAGCAGCTCTGGGAAGGAACTGAGTCTGCTCTTGGGCGCAGTCCCAGCATCAGGCTAAGCTCGGCCCCAAGGAGCAGACTGGTCGATATTTGCTGAACGGATGAATGAATCGATCAATCCACAGCCAGTGAAGGTACTCTGTCAGAGTGGAGCCCGGCAGAGGTGGGCTTGGTCAGCGGGCTGCGGGTCTGCACTGTGCAGAATCTGTGCTGGCGTGAGTGTTCTAGCTCAGTGAGCGTCTGAGTGCCAGCCACGCACCAGGGTTTGGCCAGAATCCACTGTCCGTACTCAGGGCCCACAGCACCCACATCCCACGGGAGGGATTGTACGGAAGAGGAAATGCGACGGTCACTTCCTCTCCTTTTGTCACTGTGCAGCGGAGATCTAATCACTGTCAGCAGACCCTTAAGTGAGGCCTGTCTTTCCCGACCCTGGATGTTGCTCTCTCTGTGCAGATGGTGACGTGCAGATGCTGGGTGACATAACCCTTGATCACCTGGTCCCATGCTCGCAGGGATAAACAGAGTCTAGGCTCCATTTCCCATTTTACTCCTTTTTCCTAATTCCTCCAATTCACCACCTATACGGCTTAGAAACCAAAAGATCAAGGGTGACTTCACTTTAAAGGAGTGCAGTCGAAAAGGGACAAGACAAGGGAAACAAAGAGGCACCACACAGATTGGTGGAAAGGCCTCCCCGAGGCCCCGCCCTTTTGCTGATGACATCACCTTTCTAATGAGACATTTGGAGCTGACATTTCAAAACAGAATAGTATTACAGTATCCCTTTAATTTCTATGCTTTAGAATTTATGCACAGCTACATGCATACACATGCCATGGTCATTTACAGGTTAATTTTGTTCACAGTGAAACGGGGTGTCACTTTCAATGTTTATATTTTTCTCCCTTGTTTAAGGTGTAAAGGGTGTTTCATACTCCTTATCTAATTTATTTCTCAGTACAATACAATAAGGCAAGCAAGGTAGGTATTATTCTCATCATTTATCTGGGGCGACATTTGAGACTCAAAATGGGGCTGGTTCCAAATTGCATAGTTTGTAGGAAACAGAGGTTGGCCTCAAACCCAGGTCCTCCAACTCCAAGCTCCCTACCTTGTCCACTCTACTCTTACAATCTGCTACATTGTTTGTGGAGAGAATTAGATTAGGACACTTTGTTTCCTTTAGATATTCTCTGTTAATGACCATTTCCCCCTTTCCTGAATATAACAACTTTTCCTGTGTGTGTGTGTGTGTGTGTGTGTGTGTGTGTGTGTACGCTCTTATATATAGGCTAAGAAAAAGCCTTTTTCTCTTTTTCTATGAATATGTATATATGCATACATATAGAGAGAAACAGATATAACATATATATAAATATTTGGCACATATCTATGTATGTATCTGCCTACATATCTATATATATGCTATATACACATATGTGTGTGTGGTTTCAAAAATAAAAGAAGAAAGTGTGTTTAGCAAACAGCAGCACCATAGTCGGCCTCATTAGTGAGATAAGAAGAAAGATGCAAGCCTGTGTGCAAACAGGAGGGGAAGCCCTGTCTTCCTCTGTGTCGGCAATGGCCCCACGTGTCCTTGAATCCTGAGGGGGTTCAAGTGCTGTGAGTGATGGGCGCTGCTCTCCGTGCCAGGATGTGGCCCTGGGTGAAACCCCAGCTCTGAGAAAGACTTTGAACAAGCGGGCCGGCTCCCAGCTTGGATGTGTGAACCGAAAATCAGTGGGGGAGCAGCAGATTTTGCTCACAGGTTCTACAGCCAAACGAAGGGTCCCTGCGGGTCTGTGACGCTGAGAGCCAGGAACCCAGCCGCCTCCTCACTTCCCTCCTGGCTTTCTGGCCAGACAGCTCCCCTTTTCCAGTGGCGAAGTCAATGCCACTGCACCCCCCAGGCAGCTGCCTGCCCCCAGAGCAGCGCTGGGCCCCACCTTGGCCAGGTCTGCAGGGTGAAGGACCAGCCAGCAGAGAAGAGGAGAGCTTGGAAGCCCAGGCTCCTGCCCGGGTGCGAGCCTCTGCCTGCCACCCGCCAGCCAGGTGGCATCGAGTTGCCCCTCAGCGCTTGGCTGCCCGCAGTTGCAGCTTCAGAAGAGTCTTGTGAGGGACACTTTTCATTCTGAATTTGGAGGGGGAGGAGGGAAGGGTCCAGGACTGTCTGGGGCAGAGTTGCAGGGAGTTGAGGAGCTCCCCCCAAAAGGGGGCTCGCTGCCCCGCTCACAGGTTCTGTGAAGACTGGGGGTGTCCTGGCCCAGGGGCAGGGGACCAGGCAGGACACGATCCTGCCGCTGGGCCTTGCTGAGAAGGACGAGGCAGGGAGAGGACATGCTGGGACACAGCTGCGCTCGGCCTGGGCGTGGCGATGTAGCACTTACTGGTTCTGTCGCGACGGTGATGATGGAGCCATGCAAGCCGCCATGCCCTGCGGGGCGGACCTGACGGGGCTGGCGGGGGGGGGGCAGGGGGATGACAAGAAGGCCACAGCGAGGGCTGTACTGAGGCCCTGATAACAGGGAGCGGCACACAGGCCGGCCAGAGGTGGGTCCAGGAATGCTGAGGAGGTAAATTGGCAGGTTGTAGCGAGCCAGGTGAGTGGCCTGCCTTCTGCATCTCCCACCCGCATCCCTGAGCTTGGCATCTGCTGTCTGTCTCCCTCCAGGGACGTGTTCCCGCAGGGTCTGCCTGATGAGTACGCCTTTGTCACCACCTTCCGGCTCAGGAAAACGTCCCGGAAAGAAGACTGGTACATCTGGCAGGTCATCGACCAGTATGGCATCCCACAGGTGGGAGCAGCGTGCCTTGTCGCCTGTCTTAGCAGGCCTGCAGCGTCCGTGCCCTTCTCGCGGGGGTGGCATCACCCACCGTGTTTGCTCCAGGCTGTCGGCCTTTGCCTCCTAGGTAATAAGGAAAGCTGGGGTGTGAACCCAGCAGCCGAGCTCCGCGTCTGTCTCTTACGCACCGTGCCTGGCTGTCTCTATCAGTGGGCCACGGTGAATGCCTTTTCTGCAGCCCTGGTCAGACTGAGAGGCATAGATGTCTCCAGGCTTGACCACCGACTGGCCTGGTTTCGTAAGCGTGGGAGGCGGCGTGGAGGAGATCAGATCCTTCTTCAGAGGCCTTTGGAGAGCAGGCGGCCCGTGGTGACCGTCCTCCACCCCCCTGGGCAGGCATGCAGGTTCTCCCGTTTCTCGGGTCCGGTGCAGTGGACTGGGCGCCTGCCATGACATTCTTGTGGGTGAGCCCGCACCACCCCCGGTCTGGCTTCTCTTGCTTCACGGCGTTTGCAGAGCTGGGTGTGCTCTGCCTGCCGTGACTGCCTTTCCCCTTCCTCCTGCCAGAACGAGTCGTGCAGACAGCCTGCCTTCAGGGACTGTAGGCTCGTTTTCAGAGGCGCTTGGCCGCCCAGTTTCACTGAGCAAGTCTTGGTGGAGCGCCCTTCACTGGCAGTAAACAGGCGAACAAAAGGAATGAACAAGACGTTTGCAGATACTGACAAAGTACTACGAGGAAGCGTAAATACAGCCACATGCCCGGGGTTGTGAGAGCCGAGCGCGGGTTAGAACCCAGTTACGATGTCTGTGTGGGTCAGACAAGGCCTCACTGCGGTGCCTTGGAACTTACTTACTTCATTAATACAGCTAGTATCTAGAACAGTGCCGGGTGTATAATATGCTCAATGTGTTTTATGTGTGCGTGAATTCATTTAATCCTCATAACAACTATGATGTTATTAGTTATTGGCACTGTTATTGGTTCTGTTTTCCAAAATGAGGACATAGTGAAGATGTCAAACAGCTTGCCCAGGGTCACACAGCTCAGCAGTGACTTGCCAGACAGTAGACAGCCTGCAGCTTGGAGCGTGTTTTAATGAAGTGGCTCAGGTTAAGCAGCTGATGGAGTTCAAGGTCAGGGTCAGGGTTAAGGAAACCAACAGAGGATATTGGGATGAACCGGGCTTAGCAGCAGCAGGAAGCTACCTCCTGGGCCGGGATGGCCTGGGCAGGGGGGCGTGGTGGTTACGGAGACCGGTGAGCTCTGGAGTCGTGGGCAAGAGAGAATGGTACATGGAGAAACAGCCACCTGGAACCACAGGGCAGGGAGGGGCAAGGGGACTCCGCACCTCGACCCATTGCTCTGCTTGCTGTTTAATCTCCTCTGAATGGGCTTCCCCTGGGCCAAACGCAGCAGACGCGAAAGGGCGCTGGAGCCCATGTGAAGAAGTCCTTACAGGTCAGACTCTGGGAGCCAAAGTCCCGCAGAGAAGGGTGGTGCGTGGATAGCAGGGCCAATGAAGACCAACCTCATGGAGATGGACCAAGAATAGACTCATCCATTCGGTAGCTCAGTGAATAGCTATTTTAATATACTGTATCATGTCCCCACCTTGCTACACTGATTGCATATCACCCCTGTCCCACTGTTGCATTCCGGACACCTGGCACGTTGCTTGCCTGTCACAGAGACTGTTCAATGAGTGTATCGTGCAATGGATGAAGAGATGAGCACCTGGATGAGCATTCATTCATTCGTTCATTCATTCTAAGAGAAATAAGCGTAAACGTTCCTCCAGTGTTCCAGGCAGTTTTCAGAGGGTCAGGTCCCTGCCATCAAGGAACTCGATTCTGCTGGAGGTTCAACTTTATCCTCAAAATGAGAGATGACAGCTGAATGGATGGGGCCTCAGACGGGTGCCCGGCCTCTGGCCGGAAGATGTGTCCTGTTTTGCCAGCCTGGGGCTTTAAGAGACACTGAAACCAGTCGGGTTTTTGGTTGATCTCACAACTCAAGCCCCCATGTACTGGTGGTCCCGCAGTCTCACGCGAGTGCTCTTCCCTGCATAGTCGCCCCAGGCAGCTGAGGTGGCGACCCTGGGTTACTGTGTGAGTTCAGGCATTCCGTTTCGTACCGTGCCCGGAGGAGGAAGCCAAGGCTTAGAGGCGTGGAGCCGTGTGCCCACGGTTGGCCAGCTGGGGGGGTCACGGCCAGAATCTGCCTCGGGTGTGTCAGGTCTGACTCTGCCGTGCCCCCTCTCCCCCCACCCCCCACCTGGAGCTCAAGGGAGCCCCTGGTCCTCTCCTCCCAGGTGTCCATCCGGCTGGACGGCGAGAACAAGGCGGTTGAGTACAACGCCGTGGGCGCCGTGAAGGATGCCGTCCGGGTGGTCTTCCGCGGGCCCCGGGTCATTGACCTCTTCGACCGGGACTGGCACAAGGTGGCCCTGAGTGTCCAGGCCCAGAACGTCTCCCTGTACGTCGACTGCGTGCTGGTGCAGACGCTGCCCATCGAGGAGAGGGAGAACATCGACATCCAGGGCAAGACGGTGATTGGCAAGCGGCTGTACGACAGCGTGCCCATCGACGTGAGTACCAGGGGCCTTCCGCCGCCACGGCCCAGGGGCCGCCAGGGAGGGGCCGCGGGGGCCACCATGTGCCCTGGTGTGCCCACACCTGCCTGTGCCATTTATCAGTGCATCACCCGGACTGTCTTAGAAGGGAGGTCCCCGACCCAGAGAATGGCCATTTGGAGCCCAGAGTCACATCGCTCCTTCACTCATTCAATTATTCTGCCATTCAGTCCATCACTAGCACATATATATTGAGGACCTAGTGTGTGCCAGGCACTGTGCTTGGCACTGGGGACATGGTACTTTTATCTATATATCTATATGGATGTCTATTTAAAATACAGGGAACTTTATATCCCTATTTATGCATATAACGCATATGCATAAGTACTTAATAATTGGTAGCAAATAGCATTCTAATATAGTTATATATACTTGTATAATTATAGAATAACATTTGTTCATTTTACTAATTATATGTGTACTTACTTTGGTTCAGGTACTAAAAATATAACCTAATTAGATTCTCATAATGCCTGTGAAATTTTTAGATTGTTCCTGTATTTTAAATAAAGAAGCTTTGGCTTGGTAAGGCTAAATTAATTCACTCCCTAAATGTATATTTTATTCTTCATTGAGGTGTTGTCACATACCATAAAGCGCACAGATCTTAAGTATATATTTTGATGAGATCTGTCAAATGTATACACACCTGTATAACACACACACACACACACACACACACACACACACACACACACACAGTCTTCCTAAGTTGCCCAAATCGTCCAGCTGTCAGGGATGGACAGGGTCATCCTTCCACCCAAAGGTGCATCACCTGCATGCCCGCCTGGCCCCTCCCGTTCACCTGAGCAGTGTGACTGAAGCAGCTGCTGGCGCCAAGCGTGCTGGGGGGTCTGTGTGATCAAGAGGCCGCTGTCTGTCTGCCTGGGGAAAACAGAACCTCCACCATGGTGGCCGCTGCTCCTGCCTTGTTTGTCACTTCGTCTGTCTGACACACCATAGGCTCCCTCTGACTTTAAGACACTTATGGTCTCATGTAGAAGAAAGCCTCTCACCGAGGTCATCTCGGTCTAGTTGAATAAATTCCACAGTAGCATTAAGCATCCGATATTACTGGACCCAGAGGGGGACGTCCAACCTAGGTGATCAGGGTAGGTGAATGGGGACGGTAGGAGGGTGCTTCCTGGAAGAGGTGATTTCTGGGATGCGCCTTGAAGGACGAAGAGGGTTTGTCTGTGCAGAGGAGCCTGAAGCCGTGTGGCAGATCACGGCATTGTGCGTGCACATGGTGAGGTGGCAGGAGCGTGAAGCACAGCGTGGGGCGAGGCAGGGTGGAAGGCAGGGGCCAGGCTTGTCCGCAGGGCACAGGCCTTGGGACCCACCTGTGGGGGAAGTGGCAGGCAGGGAGTCAGGGCTGTACTGGGACATTCCCTGGGGCTGCAGACAGCAGGGCTGGTGGACAGGAGCGGGGGGGCTGCGCCCAGTTGGGGGATAATAAGGTGGCTCTGGGCCTGGGCTGGGGACGGAGCTGGGTACTGGCCCCGGGGGTGGTGCGGTTCCTGGTGACTCGCTGCTGGCCACTTCATCTTTCTTCTACCCTATTAGTTGTGGACCCACCTCGATGCTAAGCGCTGGGCCCTCATTTCGGCCCGTGTCCTCAGGCACCATGCCACCCCGTTTAGTAAGTGGTCGCGCAGGCCTCACAGTCCGCATGTAAATGCTGTGTGTTCCTGTGAGTCTAGGGTCTGGGTGCTGCCCTGCCCTGACTCTTAAATTTGGTGATCACGTTGGGCCCTGAATTGAGCCCTCGTAACCCACTGTGTGGAGTCTGGGCCCTCGGGTGGGTCCATCTCTCTCCTCCGTTTGCCCCCCGCCATTAGCTGAGGGCCCACTTTGTACCCAGCACTGGGGAATCCCAGGGCCTCTGACATTTGTCTGTGAGAATACTGTACCCATTTACTGTTTCATGCTGGGTTTCTAGGTTAAAAAAAAACAAACACCTAACAGACAAGATGGAAGGGGACAATAAACGCTGTCCCTCTTAGTAAGTCTCCCCAAGGCACAGGCTGGGGTACGTGTAAGCACACGGCTTGGGGCCTTGCACGCAGTGGGGAGACCACAGCAGCCTGCAGCCCCACTGCGATGGACCTCGCCACAGCCCTACAGGTCGCATCCTCGTCTCCATCTCACAGGAGAGGGAGCCCTGACTCACTGCCCTGCGGGTGAAGCAAGGCTGGGAGTCATGCCCGGGCCTGGCTGGCCCCGCACGCCGAGCGCTCTGCACCTCTAGCTGGTCTCCACACTGCAGCCAGATCAGGGCCACCAAGCTGCAGGCGGCGGAGCAGGAGGGCAGCTGGGCCCCAGGGCGAGGGCCACGCAGTAGCTCAACTCAGAAGTGCCGCGGGGTCTCAGAGCAGAGCAGGGGCCACAGGGGGCGTCAGAGATGGCCCCTGGCTTGCTGGAGGGAGGGAGAGGCAGGGTGGCCAGCGGATGGTGGGGTTCCAGGCAATGGGAAAGGGGCCCCTCCTGGCTCCCAGGCCCCCTCACCCCAACTGGGAGCGCCAGTGCCCAGGCCCAGGCCATCTGTGCAGCTTGTCTCTGCCTTGTCCCTCCCTGTCCCTGCAGCCTTGCCAGAGGCGCCCAGCTGCTGAGCGAGTTGCTTGCTAATGCAGAAAGCAGGACCCTCTCTGCAAAATAGGTCTTGTTCAAAAGTACCATTTTGTGTTTTGTCATTTTCCATCATCTGTGGGCTGGTGTCTCTACAGGAAATGAAACAGACAGACAGCTGGGGTGTTTGTTTCTGCTGAGCCAAGTCAGTGGAGAGAGAGGTTCCACCGACAGGGGCTCGTCATACAGCCAGGAGGACGGGGTCACAAGCTGGCCACCTGTCCGGTCAGTTTGCAGAGGGACTTCTGAGCACAGCGGAGGCCAGAGAAGGTCCCGGGGGAGGTGTGGGGCCAGACAGGGCTCGTCAATGTTCAGTAAAATAAGCAAAGAAGCATCCTCCACCCATGGCTTCAGCTCCAGACCAGCGATAAGCATTGGTGCATGCTCACGTTCATCCGCTCGGCCGGCCGTTAGCTGTGTGCCTCCATGTGTCAGGAATGGCTGTGCTGCTGGGGGTGCCGTGGGAGCTGGGAGGGAGGGAGCCTTTCCTCGGAGTTTGAAAGCTACACTAAGAAACACATCCTCAGTGCCGTATGTGGCAAGTGCTGTTACGACGGTATAGAGGATGACGTGTTAGAGCAACAGGTGACAGGGCCTGGGCACCGGGCTGGCTGTGGAGGCCAAAGGTGAGAGGAGGGAACCTGGGAACGGGGAGGGCAGCGTGTGTGGAAAACAGGCTTTGTCTGAGGGGCGAGGGTCAGTGTGGGAGCCCAGAGGGAAGATGGACATAAATCTAGAATTAGCGCACAGCCCACCACGTTTGCTGTCACCTGTGTGCACGAGGGGCCGCCGTGGCAGAGACGGGGGCAGGTGAGCTCTGTTGACCCTGGAGGGCGCTATACCAGTTACCTGCTCTGCATAACAGACGACCCCTCCTCCAGGAGAAGCAGATACGGCACCAGGCTCTCCCTGGCTCCCAGCTTCTGGGGCTCAGGCGCAGGCGCGGCTAACCCAGCCGGCTCTTCTCAGCTCTCAGGAGCGGCCGTCCAGCTGGGGGCCATCTGTATGCTCATCTCAAAGCTCGAATGGGCTGAAAGGCCCGCCCACAAGCTGGCTCAGGTGGCTGTGGGCAGCCTCCTGTGGGCTGTTGAGCTGAGGGCTCAGTTCCTTGCTGGTGGATGCTGGAAGCGGCCTTGGGCTCTCTACCTGAGCTTCCCATAGGGCAGCTCGTGTGGCAGCTGGTGTCCCTCGGGGTTAATGATGGCGGGGAGAGGGGGAGAGCGTGTGCACCCCCAAGACAGAAGCCAGTGCGTGTCACCTAATCTGGGAAGTGGCTTGCCACCCCTTTGCCAAGTTCTGCTCATTTCCAGCCAGTGACTTGAGTTCCCCCTTCATTCCAGGTTAGAGCAGCCCCCTCCGCCTCTTGCAGGACCATCAAAGAATGTGTTGATGGATGTTTAAAACCACTGCTGAGGGAACGCCTGAGCATGGTTTTGGGGTGACGAGGCATTTGCTAGTGTTTCAGGGACTTGCCTAGAAGAGGGCCCAGGTGCAAAGGCGAGAGGTCCGATGTTGTAGAGTGAAGGTGTGCCATGAAGGAGTGAAGGAGAAACACCTGGAGAGGCCGCAGAGCCAGGGTCTGCAGGGCCGGGCCGCCCTCCGAGAAGGCCCGGGTTTACTTATAGTGTGTGTGTGCACGTGCGTGTGTGCACGTGTTTAACTCCACAGCCCCTTTAAATTATATTAAGGGGTTGTGGAATTAAAGGAAGTGATCACCCTGATAAACCTAGTACCCATCTGACACAAAGTTAATTTTTAAATAATATTTTTGAAAGAAAAATCATGTTAAGAAGGATGTCATCCAGCACATTCCACTAAATTAAGAAAAAGGAGGTGATAGAAGCAAATGTTTATTTAGAAGTTCATTGAAGTAACTGTGATGCCCGGAGAGGTTGAAAGTGAGGACACTGACCTCTGAAAGGTTCGTGTCTGGAACGCGGTTGTGACAGGGCAGCATCTCAGAAGGGCCTGTACAGCAGGCAGCGCAGAGGCAGGGGCGGCGCAGCACATCCAGGGGAACGAAACTGGGCCGATCTGTGCCAGCCCCGCCCTTTGCACTTGGGGCCCTCGCCTTCAGGAGGACGTGAGCACAGAGGTGGCGCCGGTGCCCTCTGAGTTTAGCTCAGGGAAGTGGGGGGCCGGTGAGGGACTCAGAGGAGGAGGTGGGACCTGACAGCAGGCCAGGGCCTGTGCGGGACTGTGGAAGGTTCTGGGCTCCGAAGTCCCTAAGACTCACCCTCTGTCCTGTTTCCCTTTCCAGTTTGACCTACAGCGGACTGTGATTTACTGTGACTCGCGCCACGCAGAACTGGAGACTTGTTGCGACATCCCCTCAGGGCCGGTGAGCAAAGACGCGTCTGTGGAGAGGTCGGGAGCAAGGGAGAGGTTTCTGGGTCCTTGGCCCTGGAAGGGAGGTGGCGTCCGGGGTCTAGGAGCTAGCAGTCGGGGTCAGGGGGACGCCCGTTGTCACATGTGACCTGGGAGGGAGCCCGATGACCACCCCAAGGGATCTATTTCGTGGTCCAGTAGGGTCATGCAGGTCCTCCCAGGGTCAAGCTGTGGTCCTGGCCTCAGTACCACCATGAAGCCCAGCTCTGCGGAGTGAGAGGCAGAGGCTGGTAGCCTGTCCCCAGGAGGGACTGGCTGTTCTTGTCCCCAGGGCTCAGAGGAGGGGAGGCCGCAGTGCACTGGGCTGGTCAGCTCGCTAGACCGTTGGAGGCCGGCCGTGGTCAGGACTCAGGAGCGCAGGACAGACCAGAGTTGGCCCTGGAACCTCCGTGTGGTTCTGCCTCTCCCTGGGACCCCCCCAACCTCCGCCCCTTGTCAACTCACTCCCTCTCCAACCTCGCTACCAAATCCAGCTCCAAGGCTGCTTGGGAGGTGGGCATGGTCATGCAGCCTGCCTCCCAGGGCCACGGGGTGAAATCCACGTACAGTGCTCGCTGGTCCAGTCCCCGTGACACAGTGAGCGCCCCGCCAGCTTGCCCCATCTCAGGATGATTGTGGCGTACAGGCGACAGAGGTGGGATTGGAGTCAGATGGGCCTGAGGGGGAGTGAGAGGGAAAGAGGTGAGGACAGATAAGAGCAGGAGACAATAAAGGGACAGAGGGGTGCGGTGAGGGAAGGGAGCTAAGTCCTTGAACACCTACGGGTGTGGGACACAAGTGGATGCTTTAACGTGTTGTCCCATTAAATCTCTCGGCGCCTTGCGATGGAAACATCCTTGGCCCCATTCTGCAGAGGGTAAGGCTGAGGGTCCAGGGGCTAAAGCCGTTCCTGCAGGCGGCTGAGAGGCCAGTGAAGTGGCTGAGACCAGGTTGGCCCAGGGCCCTCTGACTCCAAGGCCTTGGAGTGCCAGGACCTACAGTCAGACGCGCCTTGCCCCCCGGGCTCATGCTCAGGCCCCCTTAGGGATCCTGGTTTCCCCTGGGCATTCCTGGTTGTGAGGAAGCTCCAGGCTGCGCCCCCTGCTGGGGAGCAGTGCTGAGTGAGAAGCCAGTGCTGACCCACTGGGCTTTTCTTCCAGTGCCAGGTGACCGTGCTGACAGAGCCTTCGCCCCCGCCCCCAAGGCCTCCCACCTCTGGCAGTGAACACATTGGCTTTCTGAAGACCATCAACTGCTCCTGCCCAGCTGGAGAAAAGGTACTCCCTGCAGTTCACCCTCAGCCCCAGCCCGGAGCCCCAGAGCCGAGCGGGGAAGGCGGGTCAGCAGGGCCATCCCTGGAGGTGGGAATTTCCCATCATGCACGTGGTCTTCCAGGGGAGGATGCTGCCAGGCTCGAGCGGCTCTCAGGTCAGGGAAGTGTTCTTGCTCCTGGGACCTCTCATTTCTCGATTTTTATACACACTAGGAGGGGAGCTCCTCCGAACGGGCTCCGATTAACCTTTTCCTGAAGTTAATAAGGTGTTGTCGAGGTTTTCCTGGGTCCTGCTGTATCCCCTCCACTCACATGTGACTAACTCAAACAGGATTTGGTTCGAGAATAAGGCTCAGAATGGGCTGTGGCTGAGGGTTTAGATGTGCTCTGTGGAGCAGGCCTGCATCCCTTTCGAGTCAATATTTCCTTTAATTCACCATACTCTCTAATCTGAATGCATGTTATGAGTAGATTTTTATGCATCTTGTTTCTCATTTTAAAAACAACTGTGTTTCTATGAACACCACCACCACCATCCATTATCAAGACTAAGTGTGTCATTGAGGGCCTGGGCCCTTCATCTGCTCTGTTTTCGTTTTCTTTTGTAGACCAGTGGCCCCTTTGATAAGATAAAACATGTTGCCCACTGTGTGAGCTGAACAAACAGAAACACATACACACGCATGATGGAAGCAGAACTGTGCTAGAGAGGGTCTCCATGAGGTTCCGCTGGACCCACAGACCCAAGGCCTGGCCTCTAGCCTGTGGTCCTGTTCAGGCATCACTGCCTCTGCCTCTCCCAGCTCAGGGCCACCAGGCGGGAGGTGCTCAGCGGCTGCAAGGACCGAGGGAGACACAGACAGAGACAGGAAGTCACAGCTGACGCTCAGCAGAGTGGACACACACTAAGAATTTCAGTAACAGCTTCCTTCCCATAAACCTGCCCTGGCAGGTGCCTCCCCCGCCCCTTTCCTCTCCTCTGTTCTCCATCACACCCTCCCTCCGTTATTTTCACCAGAGCGCCCGATGCCAGGGACACAGGCCGCCCCCCAGGAGCTCTCTGTCCAGTGGGGTGGTCAGACCCCGGCCCACTTTGCTGGAAGGCCAAAAGGAGCCAGCTCAGTCCTGCTGTGAGCTGAGGCTTTTCCTGGGCAGCATGTGGAGTGAAGGTGCCTCGAGCCTGGTGCCAGGCGGGTTAGGAATGAGAGATGGCTGGGGGAGCAGGGCCGGCACACACAGCGGTGGGCAGCGCCCCCTGCTCCAGCCCCCAGCAGGCTCAGGGTGACCACAGACAATATGCTGATCCAGTTTGGCTGTCAGTGAAATAATAAACACAGCTGTCTAAACCCACATCCTTCAAATCCTTGTTTTCGGTTAAGACCCCAAATGAGACGTGTACAGTATTGTGAGGTTTGGATCACTAGCCGCTGTGCACACAGCCAGCCTGTGCCAGGGAGGGGGCCCAGACCCGCTCTGTCCCGTCCATGGCGTTCCCCAGCCCGGGCCCCTGCTCTGGGTGTGTCGTGCTGAGGCTCCTGCGGTTCCTGGTGTGGGCCCCCCAGGAGGGAAGTCTGGGGTAACGCAGGCCTCCATCCCCCCTTCCCACCCACCTCCCCACTCCAGCAATCCTGTGGTGGGTCCCCAGTTGCCCTTCAGCCGCATCTCACTGCGGTTCCCTCCCCATGTCCATGCCAGCGAAGAACTTCCGGTCCTGGGGGAGGTGTGATGGATTTCGTTCCGCGTTTGCAGGTGGGGCTCCCGCACACCTTTCCCCACTTCCCCTCCTTTATGGGCTAGTGCCTGGTCTTTTTCCAACCCCCCCCCCAAGGAACACTATAACAGTCATTTAATTATTATATTATTGTTTACTATTATTATTAATTTTTCTTTAAAATATTTCTTAATTTTAGCTAATTAAGCTAATCCTGATTCATGATGACAAATTAGAGAGAACAATAAAAACAAAACAAAATAACAATAAAATTAAAAAACAGCTTTATATAAATTTAAACATTGATAAACTTTTTTTTCCAAGAAGAAATTGTGTCTAAACATTGTTACCATTTTATTAAACTGAGCAGTCATTGTCGGTATGATCTCCCTCCTGCCCCCCCCCGTTCCTCCCTCCCTCCCTTCCATTATTCACCATCCATCCATTCAGTAAGTATTTATTTAGCACCTGCTCTTTCTAAGACCCTATGACCCTTTTCACTGCCTGTGCTTCCATCAACCAGTGACAGTTATCACATTGGGTTCAGCATGTCTACTTGTCTTTGTTTTCATAAGATGAGTTCTTTTTGGCCAAGATTGAATATTGACATGTCTGTGGTTTCAGCTAGTGATATATAGCCTGATATTATTAAAGGTTGACTTGATACGTGGATCAGGGTATGAAGGATGGATGGTGGATGGATGGGGGATGGATGGTGGATGGTGGATGGATGGATGGATGGATGGTGGATGGATGGATGGATGATGGATGGATGGATGGTGGATGGATGATGGATGGATGGATGGATGGGCGGATGGATGGGGGATGGACAGACGGGAGGGAAGGATAAAGGAACACACCCTCTCTTTCTTGCTGGCAGGACAAGGTCTCATTCTTCAAGATTATCAGCCAGTTTACAAACTCTCAGCCTCAAACCCTGGGTGGCAGCACCTGGTAAACCATTCTTCGATTCACTCAATCACCCCTTATCTTTGACATTAAACATTAAACGCCCACAGTGTGCTGAGTACTGAGGGTTTAAGACCCCTAGGACATGGTCCTCCAAAGCTCTACAGTCGCAGCTTACCTGCAGGCCTGCCCAGCAACTTCTCCAGCACAGGTGGGTGGGCGGGGGCCACACGGAAGAGCCTCAACAAGTACTTTATTAAGAAGGGGTTGCTGCTCCCTCCTGCATCCTGGATTCCATAGACAATGTAGCACAAGGGACCCGGGAAGTCTGAGCGCTCTGTCCTGGGAGGCAAGACTCGGGCCACGGGCAGACTTGGCTTCCAGTGGTTTTAATCTTCGATTCAGTTTACAAAACATTTCCGTTCTCTTAGGTACACGACGCTTGGGTCCATGTTTCCATGTCTAAAACCAAACGTCATGGTGAGCGCAAAGCATCCTAGTGGGCGCTGAGTGCGGTCAAGCACACAAATTATTTCTCTCCATTGGACGTGTACATGACGTCTCCGAACGCATTTTTAAAACTCTGTTCTTGAGGCAGCCAAGTGCTACAGCTGACTGGAGTGCACACGTGTTCTGTGATGGGCGGTGTACAGCGTCACTGTTCTTTTTGCTGCTGTGATGAGACTTACACCTACCTGTACAGGCAATGAATTGTGTTATATTTGTTTTTTGTAGGGTGATTTTTACGGGCACCCACAACATCATGTGTCATAGTTTTACATCAAGAAATACGATCTTTTACACCAATAGCACATATTTTAAAAAGTGAACAATTGCTTACATTTAGAAATAGCCTCTAGACATGTCCTGTTCTGTATTTTAGTGAATAATGATTATACGAACCTTCAGCAGGCCACATGGTTGTTGTTTTTTAATTGAAGGGACGGCGTATTCAGGTAACACAGACCGTCGGGTACCATCTTGTTTGCCTCTATCTTTGCTCCGCCGACGGCTGCACTTGGAGGTGACGTCCAGGTTCCCTGTGTCGGTTTGCAGTTCACGACCTTTCTTGCCTTGCCTTAGCTCCCCAAAACTTGGTTTAGCTTGTTGGTCAGCATGCGTCTTACAAAGATCCTTTTAGGAGCACATGGGGTGGGTAACCAACTAGTGAAAAGAGAAAGGGGAGAAATGAAAACAGAGCCTGACCTGTTTGTTTTGTCTTTTCTTCCTTCAGGGTGAAAAGGGCTCTCATGGCCCCTTGGGATTCCCGGGCCCAAAGGTCAGTTCTGCAGCTGCCAAAGGCTCGGTTTGGGGCCTGAGCAGCCGTCTGCTTTGCTCGTATGTAAGGGAGAAAGATCGGTGCGTTCAATTTCTGTCCTACAGGGTTCTGCCTCTGTGCTTGTTGGCACAGAAGGATAGAGCCAGCGGCATAAAATTTGGAACCTCTGGCTCTCTTTGCTCAGAACCTCCATTTCTCAGTCTGAAAACGTGAGCGAGAAAGGGTTAGGGCGCAGAAGCCCTCGCTTGGAGCCTGTTTGTTCCAACAGGCTTAGCTCTCGGTGCTCAGCTAATTCTGCTCAATCCTTTTCGGCCTCTGTATTCTAGACACCTGGGAGCTTGTAAGAGTCTGTTTGTTTAGACTGCATATTCTGTTAGTTTAAACTGCCTGAAGTTCTTTTTGCACAAGTTTTCCAAATCACGAATTGCTCCAAGCCGGGTGCTTCCTCATGAGGCCCCCCTTCTCTCTCCATCATTCTCCAGGTTATAACCCTACAGAGCTGGACACGGCTGGCATTGTTTTGGTCTCAAAAAGCTGAGACCCAGAGAGCTGTGAATTGCCCCCATACACACTGACACGCACACACACACCAGTACACATGCCATCACACACACACACGCCATCACACACACACACCACCTCACACCCAGACAACTCACTCCCCCATACACACTGACACGTACACACAATCACACCATCACACACACACCCCATCACACACACACCCCATCACACACACACACACACACACACACCAGCACACATGCCATCACACACACACACACACACACACACACACACACACACACAC